ATGTAAATGTGGGCTGCAAGGTGGCTCAGTGAAGGTCGTTGGCTCGCGTCCCGGTGAGGACACCCAGGATCTTTCTGCGTGGAGTTTGCATGTTCTCCCCGTGCTTGGGGGGGCGTGGGTTCTCTCCAGGTTCTCCGACTTCCTCCCACACAGTCCAAAAACATGTTGAGGTTAATTGGTGATTCTAAATTGTCCGTAGGCGTGAATGTGAGTGTGCTTGGTTGTCTGTCTCTAAGTGTGGCCCTGTGATAGACTGGCGACCTGTCCAGGGTGTCCCCTGTCTTCGCCCTAAGTCAGCTGGGATAGACTTTGGCCCCCCGCAACCCTAGTGAGGATTAAGTGGTGTATAGATAATGGATGGATGGATGGATGGATGATACAAAGTATGCAAAATCCCATTGAACAATTAAACTAAGTTCAGTGATGTACGTTTGACTGCTTTGCATTATTTGGACAAATGATTTACGTCTTTAAAAACCAAAGTAAGTCATTTTGCCATGTTTAAACTACTGGAGTCCCTTTTAAAGGATCTCTTGTTCAATGTGTGTTCAATTTAGTTTCATTTTCTTTGTAGTTTTGGAAGCACCCGTGTCTTCACTGGAGTCTTGTCGATACTTCTTTGTAGTGTGTGACAGTTGTTTTAGCCTCTTTATGTTGTTTTATGGTGAAGTTTTAATTCTGCAAGTTTTCTTGAAGACGAGATTTTAATAATTAATCATCATAATTTGTAACAAATTATATAATTGTACACTCACAATGTGAATCTACTGAAAATGTTGAATTGCTGCCTCCTGTATGATGAATTTTTCTGTTCATCACAAGATGAAACACATTTGTCCTGCTGCCGCATTTATCTGGAAAAGGTCGTGAACATTTTCACCCACTTTGGCCTTTTGTTAGTGCAAAACATAGTGAACATTTTCACCCACTTTGGCCTTTTGTTAGTGCAAAAATATTTACATTCAGAAAAACGAGGAACCTCTGACCTGGTATGTACTGTAGGTCACATTCACGGGGTGGAGCGCCCTCAAAGCTCCCGTCCTGTGTGCTGCTGATTAATCACAGCATCATGACATCTGTCTGGCTTCGGCCCAGAAGAGATGTGTGAGGCATGCGGTGCCTCAGCACTTCTCCAGGAGCTCCTGTGAACGGGATAGATTGGGGGTTGGGGGGAGAACGAAGGGGTAGGAGGAGACGGGTGGAGACAAGTGGACAGTTGCATGGACAGACTTGAGACTCTGAATGCAGTCTGATGCAGCGCGGGCGGTATTTACGCTCTGACGGCTGCGGGATCCGGGAGCTGGGTATATTTAGCCGCCCCAGAGATATCACGCCGAGATGAGATTTCAAAGTGAAGTACCTGTTTGAAGATGCATGGCATTCCACAAGGGTGGGCAACGGCTACTGGGTATAAATCTAGCACCCCTGCACCTGGTGTGAAGACAGGGAGGGGAGTGTGACACCTAAGATTTAGAATGTCTAACACACAAGCCGTACATGTGTAAACTACACATTCATCCATATAAATTTACACACTACTTATGAATGAAAAAGACCAGACACATCAGTTTTTATTATTAACACCCACGCAGCTACACACACAGATGTGCATACTGTGCATATTACAATTTCACCCATGACTTTCCCTTTTTTTTTTGTGAAATCTAATTCCCCTGGACGTTCTTTTTTGTCATCCATCATGGTCTGGAGGAGATCCTGAGAACCACGGGGTTAGAAGGAACGCATAAGGCCCTCGGTGTAACACACTCATCTTCTTCAGTGTGTCTTAATTACACAAATCTTGTATTGTTGTCATAGAAAGAGAACGCTTTTCTATTGACATTGTGTGCATGAGACTCAAGATTGCTTGAGGTGCTCACTCAGGTCTGGATGCAGGCACCTTTCTGTTGATACCATTCATTTTACATTAAGTTTGTTGCTGGGGTTTTGAATTTTTCAGGTTTAGAGACATGTTTACTGCTTCCTAAAAGGTGCACAAACTAACTCGTGATGCGTGATTGCATTGAAAATGAGCACATTGTCGCCAGTTTCCTCTAATGTTTATTTGATACTCATCTAAGAATTCACCTTAAATGACTTCAACAGCTTATCTTGGCATCAAGGTTAATCTGGCTGCTTTCACATAACAACTTTGGTCTGAGGATCAAGGAGCTGTGACGGCTGCAGGACAAGACCTAATCAGCGGTTTACTCTAAAGCCAGGTACCATCTTAAAATATTAGCAGGCCTTGCTTGATCTCCTTCCCCGCTGATCCCTCTGAGGGCTGCATGCCGCGAGCCATTTCCTCCTGTGGATGACACCAAAATAAAATCTTTATAGGGCGTCTCTGTGTCTTTGCGTCCACCAGCTCCCCCCCCTCTCACTCTCACCCATCCGTCCATCTGTGGAACAGAGGAATGACTCTCATGGACTCCCTCTTTGTGAGGAATTTGCTCGGCTGAGATTTTCAGGAATCTGCAATATCATTGACACTTTAGGCAGCTGTGTCGAATGGCCGGCCATGGTCTTTGTGTGTGTGCGTGTGTGCGATCAGCTTGCTTTGTAAAGCCACCACTTGCTTATTGCATTTCCCCCGAGTCTGTGGCTCATTAATCAAATATTCATACATCCCGTGTAAATACATGGAGAACACAGTCAACCCTCAGATCAGTCTGTGCCCCCCAGCTCAAACGCTCTTTCATGTTTCTGACAAAAAATCCCAAATGTCCCCCTCCCGATGCGTCCCTCCTGTCCTTTCAACCCTCCCGCTTCCTTTCCAAGGCACAAGAATGTCGCCGCGTATCCATGGCTCTTGCATATTTGATTTGATGTTCTCACTCTGTCCACTCTGCCCAGCCACTAAAAAAAAAAAAAAAAAACCTGGATGAACACACAGATCAGACAGCAGATCTAAATGATGCCTTTATGTGCTTTGCCATTGCTTCTCCATGGTAGAGAAGAGAACAGATGAGGGATTCTTCTTCTTTCTGTCCATCCATCCTCACCCTTGCCCTGGCTCCCCCACAGACGGGACAGTTCCCTCCTTTAAAAAGCACGGCTCATCATAACACAAGAATTTGTATTGTACAGGAAAACAGTCCGGCATAGCTCAAACTAAGGGGGCAACAGACAGATTATCCATGGTAACAGAGCTTTGCACACAAGGATATTTTCTTTTCCTCCACAGAGGAACACAATTGCTGCCAGTGTCACTGGGTCACATTTTTTCCGGTTCCTGGTTAATGGGCTGTAGAGATGGTTAGCACGTACGATTAGTTTTAATCTACTACATTTGACTGGGAGAGAAAGGGATTGAATACATTTCAACACACCACTGAGGTTTGTATCTAGCACTGAAAACGAGGCAAATAATTTTTTTTTTCCCCTCCAGAGTTGCTTCAAATTCTTCCAAAAAACCACACAAACAGAGTACGAAAGTGGAACATTTAGACTTTATTCAGCTTTTTTTTTGCCTGGCAGTGTTAAAACATTTTCCAAATAATTGTTCAACATATTTTATGCAAACAGACATGCAGTGCAGGTGTCGCAATGTCGGAAAAGCACATGAGAAAGATTCAACAGTCAGAATACTTCAGTATTTTTGAAGTAATAAATCAAAGTGCGTGACTGAGTTGTGTAGCCTAACCTGTCTTATAGTGTGTTTATTCTCTTGTAGTTTGTTGATGTGTAGGTTTTGTAAAAGTGTGTTGTCAGAACAGCAACAAATCTTTACTCATTCTGGAGAATAGAACTGGGAACAATTAAAAGCAAGAAATGTGTTAAGGAACATAACACAAAATGTTACAAAATACCATTCATACGAAAAATCTCTTAAAAACACTGAAATATTTTGCCAAATATTAACTAGTTGCACTTAAAATATACAAGTAATACTACTGAGTCGGACACTGAATATAGTATTTGTTTCTGTTTCTACATGTGATAAACTGCTAGACCAAAAAGTTCAGAAAGTCTCTATATTACAAATCCCTGAAATTAATTTAAGTGTCTTTTTTCTTCAGATGCTGTTTAAAGTGTGTGTAAGTCCTAAACAGACGATACTCTCACATCCAAAAACAATCGTATTGTAAAGTGCAATCTATAACAGATGGTGCTTCGTGAGGTATAGAACATGACACCGTTATCACCACTGGTCGCTTTCACTGTGATGCTTAGCGCAGACAAAACTCTCGAAAACACACAAAGACGAGCAAACAATCATATCGTCACACAACACCGTCGCGTATTATTGCTAAAGCGAAAGAAATTAGCTCTGGTGTGCTTAAAAGTAATGTTGGCAGAGTTATTAAGAGTCTCCCTCAAAGCATGTGTCCCATATGCTTCTGTTGTCGAGGTGCTTCAGACAAGTGAAGAATTCATCTCGTTTAATGAAATGCTTTTGGCAAAGAAGTTTGGAAAAGTTACTTGGCTCTGTCTATCTTCAGAGAGCTCTTGGCTCATACTAATTAAGGGTTTTACCATACCTCTTAGGCAAATGCTACTCACACTAAAGAAGCTCTGTCTAGATTGTAACAGTATTTCAGTCATAGTTTCTACTGTTATCCTTGAATTCCCAAAGCTCCTCAACAGGAGTGTGATGAACTGGACATAAAGAACTTTACAAGCAAATCCCTTCAAGGCGTATGATGTAAGGTGCAAAAAAACAACTCTTCCAAAATCTGATATGTTAATAAAATCGCTATTAACATCTTGTCTACAAAAATACAAGTGATGGAGTGAAATGAATACTGTTCCCCTTAATGCTACTCTTTGCTAAATGAGTATATAAAAAAAATGTTAGGTCATTAAATTCAACAGTGCACCAAAAAAATGTCCCAAGGCTTCCTGACAAATTATTCAGTACTTTTACATTGCCAGGCAACAAATAATGGTCTAACCAGTTAATAACAGTTTTGTCTAAAATTGCCCAGCGACACAGTTTCCAGGACGTATAAAGTGTATTAATGTAGTTTCGAAAAGTTCCATAAACTCCACAACAGTCTCCTTACATGAAGCTCTGGATGTCGAGCAGTCGGATTTATTAAAAGTGGACGTTGCCAGTCAGGACTTTTAAACAGGGCTGTCAAAGTAGCACAAAGTCGCCGGTGGTGGTGACCGTTCTTCGCGGGTCACAGATGAAGGGCCATTCTTTCTTCTCCGGGGTCAGGCCTGCCGACAGGTCGTAATCTCTGCAGTGACCTTGTACGAAAGTGAACGCGGGGTATTTCTCCTTCGCTGATGGCTGCAGCACCTGGATCAGCAGCAGACCAGAGGCGTGTTTTCTCACTCAATGCTAGTTACGTTAATTCTAATACATGTAAAGAAGTCCTCTGAGCAGGAGTGTTGTACGTTTAAGGTGGAGAGGGAGGTTTACAACATATATCTAAAGTAATGAGTGCTGTGAGAAGCCTAGTTTGAATCCAGTCATATTCATGGCTAAATGGTGCCACCTACTGGTCAACTGATATAAGACTGACACAAATAATTTCCTCTGATTGTGCAGTAATGTTCAAAAAATAATAATAGCATTTGTGAAGAAAAATTAAGAGCATTTGTAGAGCGATTTTCGTGCAGCTTTTCCCACCTTAGACAGCTCCTGTGTGATTCTCTCATAGTCTTGAACACTTCTGGAATAGAAACCAATGGTGCAGCTTGGGTCCATCTTGCTGAAAGGCATCTTCTTCGGTGAGGGGCAATGATACGACTAGACAAAAAGAGACAAAAGACATTGGAAAATATTCATCAAGCTGAAGGGCCAGGTAACTGCAGGGCATACATACACCCCATGACAGCGTCAACACTAAATAAGACGTATTCTGCTTCATTTGATGAATGAAATCCTATTTATCTGCTGTCACAGCATCCATAAATTTACAACTGGGGTGTGTTGTCACATTGTATACTACAGCATGCAAAAGCATAAAACAAAGTTGCTCTACAGTGCTGTGTGCTGATTTTTATGTATGGGTCCTGAAATATTAAGGCTCACAATGCCTTATCCTGTATTTGCCGTATTTCTCTTAAGTGGCAGCTTCACTTATCTGAGCGGCAAATAAATCAGCAGATAGGGACTCTGTAATTGGGCCGAGTGCTGCTTTAAGATTCATACCCTTAAGTACTAACAGAAACTATTAAATTCACATTACGTGGGCCCCAGTCAGCTCGTCTGTGTAATTTCACATTACCTGGAGAGGGAAATCGCTGGTGCTGACATCCACAAAAGACTGACAGTAATGAGGGTCCATGTAAATCAAGCTGTCATCTGCAAGGACAAAACAAAAGACAAGTTATTCAAAAACATCAGATTATTACAAAAACGCGCTTCTCTCCAATTTCTATGCAGAGTAGCTCAAAGTCACCCGCTTGGCCTACTGTTAGGCTTGTGTGCTTCAAATATGCCTCCCAGAAGGTTGTTGCTTTTTAATATCCACCAGGGTGGATTAAATTCTGCATAATCAGATGCGTTTGTACAAGCACATTCTTTACGCCCGCAAAAAAGAGGTTGTCATTTAATTTTTGTGTGGGGGAATTACTTTTACAAACACGCAATTATATTCGACCATTTGCATATGATAAATGCAGTGCTGAGCCGCGCCTTGGCAGGGAGAATGTATTGCTTGTCATTTAGACATCATCCACCACTGTATTTCAAATTGGTAAAATGTAAATGCGTAAATATTGACTGCCAAGATGTACAACTGAAGGTTCCTCCTAGCTCCTGAAGGTGATGAAGAGTGGCTCACTTTGGGGCCTGGATGAAATTTAATGCATGCCTCCTATGGAAATCAATTACAGCTCACAACTTGGGAGGTTTACTTGTGATAAATGGGTGAGGCTTTGATGGGTCAGAGAGAATAAAGTAAGCCCTGCTTCACTTGCTTCCATCTCCACTCCTCTCCGTTTTCCTCACGCAAACAGGAATACATTAACTTACTTTGTCTCTTCACATAAGAAGGGTATATTATGCAAAATAATTTGCTATTCACACCAACCGCTCTCTGTGGGTCTTTCTCCGTTTTCCATTACACTAACACTAACCTTGAAATCCCACAAAGTAGCAGGCCTGTTTGGGCTTCCCTCCGATGATGCCTATGCAGTACTCCAGGCTCAGTATTCCCTGAACAGAGAAGAACAAGTTTCCTACTTAATACACTCCCATGACATTTAAACTGATATTCTAAACTCACCATTCGACCTGACTTACTTCACATCTCCAAGCAGCTTTGTTCTTAAATATGTGAATGACCATGTAAAATCTTGTCACCGAAATTTAAATTATATGGCTAAATGAGTTTTCAAAACTGCCCAGACCTAGATGTGGCTCTCACCTTTGCAAAGTCAAAGTACTCGGGGTTCGTCTTCTCCCCTCCCAGCCTCACAGGGATGAGGATGATGACGGCTCGGTCGTCTGGCGAGGTGGAAGCAGACGCTGGTTGGTCGTTCTGTGGTAGAGGAGGGGCGTCTGATGTCTCATTGGAGATCTGCCCTGCTCTCGGTGCCCTGTGGCAATCGACGACATCAGCACTGTACACTATGAAAGATCAATAACACAAAGGTCGGATTGAGGCCATTTTGTCTGCCCAGTCTGTCTGTAAATCCATTCTGTCTGTTCATCAGGCTTTTAGTTGTATTTTGTTGGTTTTTAATAGAAAAATGACTGCCTCTAAAAAAAAGTTTGCCAAAAAATGACCCCGATAACATCTAAATATGCATGTGTTATCTTTCCACCAACATGATTTTGTGGGATGTTATGTGTGTCACATAATTCTTCAATTAACAACCAACATCTCTATTCTTCCCATCCACAAGTGTCCACTAGTTAAATGAGGCTGTAATCAAATTTAGCTTTTCTTTTTCCCCTCTTTCTGTTCAAATCTTTCCCTCTGAAAGATCATTTTGCGGTTGCTTTATCTGTATACGGTTCAAATTACAGTACCCACCATGCATGCTAAAGCCATTAGAGCTGCAACTAAAGGTTATGTTCTTTATCAGTTAAACTGTGTTATGTCTAGCACTGTCCCCCAGTGTCAGAGAAAGAGAATAAAATGTCACACTCTCAGAGAGCCCAAGGTAATGTCTCCATATATCAATTTACATTTGTATATTAACAGGGAAACTCTGCACGTCCTCATAGTTTTAGAAGCAAGAAAATGTTTTGCATTTTTGCCTAATACACGACTAATAACTCTTTATCAAAATGATTGAAACACTGATTTTAGCACAAGATTTTATGACATGCATTGTGTATATGGTGTAAAACTTTCCAAAAGTCTCATCTCTTTGTGACTCTAATACCACACTTCCAACACAACAAGACACCTGCTCTCCCACAAACAGCTATCTTCTGCTATTGAGAAGACAAACATGAATCAACACCCAAGTTATTGAGGTTAAGAAGAGGTCGGAGTGGGAGGTTATAGATTTGGAATGGATGTGTTTGTTGGGGAATAGACACAGTGAGACTCCTGTCACCACTTTAAGCAGCTCCAGTCTTACAGCAGGAGAGAGACGGTAGAAAAAAAAAAGGAGGGTCTGCTTGGGCGCTGTGCCCAGTATCCTGTTTTATCAACAGCAGGCTCATCTTTCATACCTGTGCAGTCCTGGGAGACATAGGCAGTTATACCCGCCAAGCCAGGGTCCATCGCCTCCTCGACAGCTTTCCTAAGAGAAAGAGAGAGGAGAGGAAGACGAGAGGAAGAGAGAAAGTGAGTGAAAAAGGGACGTTTACATCTGGAGGTGATTCTGATTAGGCTGTATCATTTTACAATTAACTTATAAATAATGATATTTAATGAAAAGTTAACTATAGTCGGATCAGCAATCTTTTTAACAACAATTTTACAAGATTAAAATCAATTATAAGCTTGAAATATATAAGCATCTTTACAAACAACCACACAGTCGTTGACACACACATTGCTGAGTTCTTATTATACTGCTACAACTTCAATGTTCTTTTATCACACTGTAAACACGCACTTGGTTTTGTTGTGAATACAATTTGAAGTTTCATTACCACAAATGACTATTGTCCACTGTTCACTACAGGACAGTGCCATTCCCAGGCTTTATAACAGGTGTATCAATCTTAATACTTCCACTGTACATATGCATAGTTATAAGAAATATAAAAATCCTGCAGTATCTGTTATGCAAATTTTTTAAACTGTGATTTTAGGCAATTAAGTAATCATCACTGTGCATTTTTTAATTAAATATTTTGCTGCCCTCATAGAGCTGAAATGATGATAGGAAAATGTGTTCTGTTAAATTAAATGACTTTTTTAATAGTAATTCATTAGGTAATTTTTGTTTTTTACATTTTATATCCATATAAATATTCTAAATGGTAGATTTAATGAAGATGACTGACCAAAACACCAGATGAGAACATTAATTCACAACAAAAGCAGCTTTAATTGTGCCCTAAACAATAGTAAATCATGACAGATTATCATGATTTAAAAAACAAAATAAAATAATGGGGTGAATGTGACACCAACATTCAAGACTTACAGCTATAACACCTGCTGTTACTCACTTGAGGATGTGTGCCACCATAGCCGGTCCGTACCAGTCCCCAGCCTGTTTTCCCATTGTCAGGCCCATGTGGACAAGCCTGTGGAGGCCCAGCTGAGCCGAGGGGCTGTCCCCAAACCAAGACACCAGAGTGCGGTGGTACATCTCCTTCAAATGTACGTCTGCCTCCTCTGCAGATCCAGAAGCCTGTGTCTGGGGCGGCGGTGATGATGAACCCTGATCGGAGGGACCGGGGGAACTTTTCAGAGAAGCTTCCAGAGAGGTCACCAGACGCTTGGCTGCAGTGGTGGTCCACGTCTCTGTGTCTAAAGGCTGGAGTGTCAACGCCTCTGACCAGGTCCAGTCTGTGGGCAAAGGACGTATGAAATAACACATTAAACAATCATCTTTAGATACTAACAACAAAATCAAGCTTTAAAGTTGCGAATGGATACAAATGTTACTCAGGTCTGTTCAAGTCTCCACACAAACTTAACATGACAATTTGACATATTTCTTGCAAAATCTTGGAATAATAATATCGGATGATGAAGGCCAATATAAATACTACCTACCAATGCATCAGTTTGAGAAAATCACACAACACTGATCTCCATTTAAAGAGTGCTCACATTTTGAAAAGATGCTGCTGTCACTTTCGATAAAACTGAATAAGATAGGCTTAAAACTTCTACATATCTCCCACAAACATTATACAGCAAATGCATGTAAGTGATCTGAGCAAATGCAACCTGACAACACAGACAATCGATAAAGAATCCACACATCACACCCACGCGCAAGAAAAGGCTGTGGGTTTTTAAAGCCTGGTATGCAAAATAATGACATGTACTTATCTGACCAGCTCTCTATGAATCTGTCTGAAACTGATAATTCAACACATCAAAGTTCCCTTTAGAGTATTAAGAACAAAAAGTGGTTCAGACCTTGAAATTGAAGGTTTCTGTCTTATAGAGCCGGCACCCTTGTGTGCCCTGGTACAAGAATAGGTGTCATTCTGTTCAATTATAAGTTTGATTGTTCCAGTATTTCACTTTAACAGTGCCTTAGCCTTACAAACAGGGTGGGAGCTGAAGGCGGAGAGAATGGGAGTGGCCCAGGCTATAAAACGGACCAGAGTAGAGTCTAAGGCATTAACAAAATGACCTTGATTCAAAGTGAATCAAAGTGAAATTGATCAATAAATATCCTGAAGTGGCCATTAGTCACTTTATAGAGAAATATTTCATTAGTGACATATTTTAGATTTGACAGAAGAACAAGCTTTAAATATTGTTTTCTAAATGACTGCATTAAACCGACAGTCTTTTCATTATGTGAACCCATCAAGTCTAGGGCACTTGAGAGACAATGGATCTCGTGAAGATATGAGGAATTCACTCATTTTAATACCTTGCATCAACTAAATAAAACTTTCGGTTTCAGGTTGAGAATGAGGAAACTCTGCAAAGTGAAAGCAAGTCTTGCTTCCTGCTTAGATATAACTGATTCTAAAGTCAAACATGAGACACAGTTGCTTAATCCACCTAAATTAGGCTTCTACATTAATAAATGAACATTTTACCGTTGTTCTTTCTATCCATTTACACATTCAGGGACATACACGAGTTCGTTAAAAAAATAAAAATTGGAAGCAGCAGGGGGAGGCAGAGAATTTGCTTTTTCAAAACCAGTATTTCCCAACTAATCACATCAGCAGCCATTCAGCCATGAGCCACACCGAGAGGTCTGAACTATCTTTGTCAACTGGTAAATATGCCAAGAAATTATGTGTGCTCACACACAATAAAAGGAAACACACCAAAGCTAATTCCCCTGCCAAATGATTTGGTAAAAATTATGGTTAGAGGCATGAAAGTAAAATCACTAGTGACAACTCAACAAGAAACCGAGAGAAGAGTTCTAAAAATTAATATTATTTTGTGTAGAAACACAATATTTAGTATCCTCCTATAACCCTTAAAAATGTTTTTTTTTTTTTATTGTCAACTAATTTGTTAATTATTTTCTCAATTAATCGATTAGTTTTTTGATCTATAAAATGTCAGAAAAGGTTGAAAATGTTAATGCTTCTAATATGTTATTACGTGTAGTATGATCAAATGTCTTGTTGTATCCACAACCCAAAGACATTCAGTTTACTGTCATACAGGGGAAAGACACCAGAAAATATTCAAAGTTTAAAATGTTGGAATCAGAGAATATATCTGTGATTTCTTAAAAAAATTACTCAAACCAATTCATCCATCATCAACGTAGTTAGTGACAACTAACAACTGAAAATCGGTAGTTGAATCACCACTACTATAAATACTTAACCTCCTCTTTTGGCATTTTTTGTCTAGACTTTTCAAACATGTAGCTGAATCACTGTAAGGGGTTTCACCGTAGCTCAGTCGGAGAACCATCATGTCCCTCACCTCTGCCCAAGAAGTGCAGCGTGAGTGCCTGAGCCACCATCATCTGTCCGGCCCTCAGCATACAGCCCCAGCCGCAGTCGGAGGTCAGGATGCTGCCTGGCAGAGGAGGGAACTCTTCCCTGTAGGTCAGCCACAAACGGGACGCAAAATCCTTCCGGAAAGCTTCCACATCCCCCATAACAAAGTCCTCATCAGACGCTTCATAGCAGGCCTCAGGAAGACTGTCATCATCTGAAGCAAAGAGATGACAAGTGGTTCTTAGTATTTGCAGTTGAATTTGTTTTAATATTCCTACTGCTGTTTGTGTTTGGTACCCAGAGGTCCAGCCAGACAATGTTCATAAGGGTGTATGGGAACTGACACACCGCGTTTAATGTAACCCTAAATTGATTCAAACAAGGAACAGTTTCCTTTCTAATTGTTGATAAAGTTTATAATGTGATTGCAATTTAAGTTACAAAGACAAGTACAACACAGATGTTTATGATAAAAGCGTCCTTGTTCTGTTTAGGACACTGTGCAGCCTTTTGCTTCTTTCTGTTGGCTGCAGGTTCTGGGTCAGTCTTGCAGTGTTCAGGAGTTTGTCTGACTTGTTTTCAGAGCTCTTTAAAGTAGGTTTCATCCCCACAGTATTTAGGAGTCTGCATCAGAGCTTCAACTAAATCCACCACAAACCTGAATCATACACACATGAAGTAACAAAAACATGTCCAGATTCTTTATTTGCATATAAAACATACTGATACACTTTTCATTCACTGCACTATCAAAATATACCTGTACGGGAACAATGGCTGTAACCACTAGTAGTTGCTGGATGTAACTCCAGTTCTTGTATATGCATAGCTCTCTTATAGGCTTCACTACTGTTTGTTGGGGGTCACTTGACTTTAGTCTGTGGTGGAAACCCCTTAGCTCTAGCCCCGTTGGTCTTGATTCATAAGCTAGAGGCTCATGTGACGCCACATAGTGGGCATTTTTATTTCAGGATAATATCTTCAAAGGGCTATAACATGTACTGAAAACATAGTGGCTGGAGTAAAAATATTTTCCTTCTGCTTTACTGGCTAGACATTTGTTAATGATGCTTTCTCCCAACAGTGAGCAAAGTGCTTGACAGCTACTGATTTACTAGTTAATGGCCTGACACTGGTGCTACAGAGCACGGCCGTCATAATTATTGGTGCACGCAGCCACCTACTTGTACGTAATCGTCATTACAAAGAAAGCAGTGGTTGTGTATTTCATGTGTAACTGTACGTGTTTGTACATGTGTGTGCACCATACCTTTAGCCTTAAAATGGTAACACTTTCCCAGGAGCAGCACCGGAGAATTTCTACTGAATGATGTCTTTGATTTGAGAGCCCAACCTAAAACACACAATAAACAGACAATATATCACAGTCTGGTTGATGGTTTTGAAAAGAAAAGGCGCCTTAATATCCTGTTTGCTCAGTTGACTGGCACACCTACTGCACAACACACATCAGTCAATGTTCTGGCTCAGGCCCAAGATTCCTGCCCACTACAGTTCAGTTTTTTTCCCCTGCACTTTCTTGTTAAGTGGACAGCACAGAGTGACAGTTGTGTGTGTGTGTTTGTTTGTTTAAGTAAGTGGCGAGAAAATAAAAAGGATTGCATACAAACCTGTGTGGACAGTATGACAAAGAACTATTTTAAGGGCTGACTCAACAGCAGTAGGTTCTCGTCTCATTGAATCCTGCTGCTTGTTTATGTTTGAATGTTTCCTGAATGTTTGGGTGGATCTTACTGTGGTTTTCTGCATTTCAAATGTGCAAATTCCACTTTGCTAATTCAAAGATCTGACACGAAAAGTGTGCCGTGGAGCATATTGACAGGTGAAAACAGCACAGCAGTCAGTGATGCATGGAAGCTTTAGGAACAAAGTGGACACACAGGGCTAAGCATGGGTGGCAGAGCAGAGTGTGTGTGTGTGTGTGTGTGTGTGTGTGTGTTGGCCTCGAGCAAATTACTTACTGTACTTCACATTGTGCCACACTGACAAGAACTTTGTCTTCAATTTTTCCACCTCGTCGCTCCCTTTATTCTCCATTTGGACCAGCGAGGGAGGGAACCCATTCCCACACAGCATACAAACCTGGTACACGGTGCACACACACACACACACACACACGCACACACACACGCACACACACACAAACACACACACACACAGCTGAGTGAAGCAGTATCACTTCACTTTGAAACATTACATGGAATTACAGCTCGCAGTGAATTACACCTCGTTACCTTAGAGCTTCTTCGTTCCTGCTGTTTTCCGCTCACATACGCACCGCAGCTCAAAGTACAAAGCGACACATTGTGCTACGGAGATAATTTAACACACAATCTTTCGTCCATGACTTGCCGTGTAACTTAACACTCCCCTGCTTTTGCCAATGTTTACACTTTGAGGAAGTGGAACAGACGAGTCAGGTGATCTCGCGGTGTTTCCGCCGGGACTTAAAGGAGGCGGTTGGTTGAAAAGCGCACTCGAATTGTAAATTGAGGTAGCCCAAGCGGGCGGGGTTTAACTGGTTTTTCTGACTTTTAATGCCGTCTTTAACGATACCGCTCTTCTTTGGGTAACGCTATTGAGAAAAACAAGCGCTCCGAGTTCTACAACGTTCAGGGTGTGGAATAAAAATGTATTTATCACATCGTTTCAAATTAAATTCCCCTCTTCATTACTGTACGTTGCTGATGGCTATGTTAAGGAAAAACACTGCAGGTGAATAGGGTAAAAATATTTAACTAAAACATATCAACTGATTCAACTGAACTGATTACTTAGGCCATAAGTGTTTGAACTAAAGTTTTTTTTGAAAATGTTTGTCAAATTATTTTTTTTTTATTTAAAAAATAAAAAATATATATATATATGTGTGTGTGTGTGTGTGTGTGTGTGTGTATAAAGCTGTTGCAAGTTGTTCACATTTAAAATTTTATACAAATCCAGATATGAAAATACATGGACAAAATGTTTAAAATATTTATATTGTAATAAAAGTGGAGAGTTTAGTGTATGTAAGTGCTACTGAAGTGGAGATTTCAGGCTTGGAGTATACAAAAAATACATTTTTGAGAAAACAGCCTCAAAAGATGTGTTCTATCATTAACAAAAAAAAAAACAAAAAACAAAAAAACAACTACAGACTTAAACATAAGAAAATATACAGACTGGAGTAAAACAAACACCTAAATGTGTATTTTATTTCCCTAAGTCTGAAAGTCTATACCACCAAATATTGCAAAACCGCAAAACTGACCAGTGCATCAAAAAGCTGTTTGCATGCAAGATCTTGACCTAAAATAACTTATTCAACTGTGACTATCATTCAAACATCAATGGTTTACATTAGGTTACATCACATACCATAACAGACATGTACACGTGCAAGATTTTACTATTGTGATGCAATTATGCTGATTAGAGGAACTCTTTGGTATAACCTGTGTAAATGTCTGGAGTCATGTGTATTGAATTGTTCCAATGTTGTGTATTCATATTGTACACAGGACTCGCTGAGAAAATTTAAGCAAGAACAGTTAAAGTAAAAACAACTGACAGCAAATGAAAAGCATGACTGAATGCTGAATGATGATTTTTTTTTTTTTTTTAATATCTGACAGTCTCAGAAGACGTGACCTCTCACTGATTGTGTTTCTTTTGCATTGTTTAAACAGAACAACTTGGTGGTCTTCTGTATCTTGTCTGCATTATATTAATTTAGGTTGTTTAGATGTAAGGTTGTTTATGTTCATTCCAATAGTACATGGGTTTGCGTTTCTCAGCTGTGCTCCATTAACCTTGTTTCAAGAAAAGATAAATAAATAATAAATAAATGAATGAAGTACATTTGTTAAGCAATGTAGTGAACTGCAAATTTCAAGTACTCGTCATTTACTTTATTATTCTCTTTTTGTTACTACTTTACAGTTTAAACTCCACTACATATGCTTTTGCAACTTTAGTTAAACATATGTAGTGGAGTTAAATTAATTAGAAATGCACTTTCATAATCATTATCCCTCCTCACCCTTGTAGTCCCTGTACTGCTACCAGACCATATCTTTTACTGAAACACAGTTTGTTTGGATAATGTTGCAGAGTGTGGCATAATCAAATTAAAAGGCTAACAAGTTTTTTGTTGTGTTTTAATTTTATTTATTTATTGTATTTATTTTATTATTTTTTTATGTAATTTGGTGCAATTCCAGCTGATTTTTTTTTTTTTTTTTTTTTTAGAGCAAGTTTAATGATTTTAACATTACTAAATTGTTGTTACAAGGCTGCTATTTATTCTCTAATTTAGATTTTTAAATAAGTTCCAGTAAAAGTAATTTTAAAAACTGTGGAATTAAAAAAACAAACAAACAAAAATCTCTGGTGATCAGGATGAGCAGAATTATTGTATGTCAAAATGCTCCCAAGTCTCTCTTAGACATGGTGCACAAAGTTCTTCATTTTGGCCTTTACAGCTTTTTAGTTTAGATCTATTTCCAGTTGATTTTGTGTGTTTTTGAAGGCTGAAACTTTACCCAATACTTTATGGATATTCATGTACAAATGCCTGATCGATTCCATGGTTTGACCATCGTTTTCTTACATATATATGCTTTTACTTATATTAATCATTTTAATTAATGCTTAAACATGGTAAGGTTAATTTTTTTTTCAGTTGAACAAAGCAAGCACTGTGAGGAAGCGCCATTTAACTCTCTGCGACTGTGACAATATGTCTCTCTATTTTCAGAATTTAGAGAAACCAATCAGTTGATTTAGTGAGAAATTATTCAGCTGGTTAACTGTTTAAAAAATAAAAAATATTTCAGATTAGCTCCACAAAGCCAGTTAACAAGTGAATGCATCAGTAATAATAATCAGATGTGATAATTTTACGTACAACAGTCATAAGGAACAGTTTTCTGTGATGGGATATTTTTTATTTTATGTACATATTCTCAATTAAACATACATACTTTTTAAAGTGACATTTTCAGCTCAAACTTTTTACTTGGAATTTAGTATTTTTGTCTTTACTTCTTCCGTGTTTAACCCTCCTATTATCTGTGGGGTCAGTTTGACCCCATTTAATGTTTAACACCTCCGAATAAGTGATTGACATATTTTTTTTCAGTTTTATTTAAAAGGCTATACAAACATAAACTTGGGTAATGATTTTATTATGACAATTTCCTGGAGGTTTAAATTGTTGGGGTCAGATTGAACCCAAGGATAAAAGATGTCAGTAAATCTGAAGGTAATAGGAGGGTTAAAATAAGCCTACTGAACACAATCTCGACACTCAAGGTATTATTGCATGACAGTGCGCAGGGACTTTTGTTGGGGTGTGTTCTCTTGCCCAGCTTTACGGTCATTACGGTAATGATCCATTCTCCCGTTTTCCCGTTTTCCCTGTGGCCGTAGTGAGTGAGTGAGTGGAAAGCGGAGTCTGCCTGCTGCCTGCCTGGGAATTTCGCTAAAGCACATCAGCGGCCACTGCCATGGCTGAACGCCGCGCCTTCGCCCAAAAAATCAGCAGGTAAAGAGACGGGAGTCGGAAACGAGGTCTTAGAAATGCACACGGAGCTCTGGGTCGCCTTCATGTAGGTCGCTCTCAGCCCACCGCTGGGGAACCCTGTGAAGGAGGCCCAGTCGCCAGCACAGCCTGGCTGCTCCGCGCTAGCCGCTCGTTAGCTGTGAACGGCAGAGATGCTCAGACCCACCCAGACACACAGCGACACCGCTAGCTCGGCTTTTACACACAATGCTAACAAAGGGGCGATATTGCTGTGTTAATGAATGCGCCCTGGCCGGGGAGGAGGTGGGTTTTTGATAATTAACAGCACCGGAATAGACTTGGCTACTGTAAATTGAAAACCGTTAATTTTGGACAGCTAGCTGTCTCGCCTACAGGGCTAACGATGGGCTGCTAGGTACTACTGACACTGGCAGAGATGTGACTGAACTTTGTTAGCTAATGTTTCAAGCTGGACCACAATGAAAGGAAGGAGCTGATGTCTTACTTAAAACAAAAGCCTCCCTCAAGTGCTATCAAACAGCGATATTGTAATCTCCTCCCCGCCCCTCAGACAGATCCAAGTAATCTCTTTAACAAAGGGCTTTGTGCGAGCTGTCAAACACCATCATCCCAGTCACAGCTCCAGTTCAGATACATGGATATAACGCAGAGATCAACATGGCCATGTCTAATCACTGTTATTGCTGATCTCTTAATACAGTCAGTCAAGTCATTCAAGTATTTCATGAGCAAGTATATGCCTGCCAGCTTGCTGGTCCACTTTTTCCTCTGTGTGAACATCTGCACTAGAGGAATATGATAATGTACACTCCTCTGGTGGGTTCATCAGTCAGAGCTGAGGCTTTTAGAAAGAAACTGCAAAGGCCATGCACATGCTCCTTTGTGTTTTCCTCTTCAGTTATAGAAAGGTTAATGTAGTTAAACCAACTAAACTTATTTATCTATTGTTTTAAAATTTAGCAAAATGATGAGGAGTTATGCTTTTGATTTTAAAGATTTTAAAGTTAATGACTTTTTGCACTTGCAGGGAGCTTTCTTTTTTATGTCTTGATTGAAAGAGCATAAAATCTAACTCCCATTAATCAAGTCCACATCTAATTATTGGGATTTTGTATTGATTGTTGCAGGCTAGACATCCCTGTGGCAGGTTAAATTGATTGGATGCTTCAGAGACGACTAATTGGACGGTCAACTAACAAACCTGCAGATAAACATACACAGTAATATCACGCATGCCTTACATTGTCAGCTGTCATGACAAAGTATACTGTAGCAATAAGTAGTGACACAGTCTGAACAAACTGAACAGCTTTATTGTTGGTTATTGTATCAGATTGCATTAGGTTGTGCGAGTCTTTGTGATTTTATATCTGTTGTGGGCAGTTGGCAGTAGAAAAAAATCCATTTTCTTCTCTGTGGAAGGAAGAAAATGAAGGTCAAAAAGTAACTCTTATTCAAAGCACTGTTTGCTTAAATTATTCATCTGGCAGCTGGAAAAAAAATCCCTTTTGTACCTGTTCAGGTATGCTCACTTTTAGTAACAGAAGTTAATTAGCCGTTGTGACATTTTTTAGGCAAATTGCCTAGCAGTTTACAGTGTGCTTTAAGTTAAATGGTTTGCTTGTACTATAATACTGAGTTGCTGCTAGTTTATATTTTGTCCCAGGGAGTTGTTGTTACCATCTTGAAGTGATCTCCACTAAGTATATTTGCTTAATCAAGTTATTCCTCTGTGCAGTGACCAGTGCTAAGTAAAGGTCTGGTGAGAGCCGTTGGGGAGGACTGTGGAATGTGTTTGTCGGTTCAGCGTTTCTGCTTTTCTCCAGCGGTGACAGCACTGCACTGCAGAGGCCACTACCACAGAACATTATCGTGTATAT